AGTATTTTCAATTTTTTGCGCCCAGTCACGATAGGCAGGAGTTTGTTAAGTGTCGAGATCAAAAACTGTTCAGCTACAGAACTAAATTCATCAGCCGATTTTATGTCTTTATTTTAATGACTCATTTATTGAGAGAGAACAGTATCGATTTCTTAATACTGAAAAGCGGATCTGATATATCAAACGTGCTGGAATGAGAGTTAAAATCCAGGCATAAGCAACGGAGTGGATCGTGCAATTCAAAATTAGTTTTACAAGCTTTCAGAAATAGGGGGCAAAAGTGTCTTGATACCCGGGAGGGAACATTAAGGCTACCTTCGCCAAGAAGAAGCGGACTTGAAATTGAGCCTGTTAGTAGTTTATGTATAAAAAATGTACCAAGCATTTGCTGGAAAGTGTGGGAAGATTAATAAGTTTTAATCGGCTCGTATAAGGTGCAAGGTTATATTGAGAATCCCAACGGAAATTTCTTAAAGCAAAAAGTAGGAATTGGTTTTGAATTCTATCTTGTCTGAGTAAATTTGATACCTTGGATTCCAAACCACCGAACCGTATTCCAGAATTGGCCTAACTAATGTGGTAAACAGGATTTTAGTGATATAAGGGTCACAAAACTCTTTTGACCATCGTTTCACAAATGCAAGTACACCTTTAGCCTTGTTGACTGTCACATTAATATGAAGATTAAAATTAAGCTTAAGATCCATTGTGATACTAAGGTCCACAAAATTGTATACCTGTTCCAGGTTATGGTTACCTGTTGTATATGAAGCGGGATCAACGGCTCTTCGCGAGATGCTCATTACTTTATATTTCTTAAGATTTAGAGGCATAAGATTTACTTGACACCAGTAAGCCATGCTGTCTAACTCTGATTGTAGCAAAGACCTTTCTTTAATTGAAACGTACAATTTATAAAGCCGTACATCATCTGCATACATTAAAACTTTGGAAAATTGTATATCTGTAGAAATATCGTTTATAAAAAGCGAGAACAGAACCGGGCCTTGGTGGCTACCTTGAGGGACTTCTGAAGTAGCATCAATGACGTCAGAGATAGTATTTTTAAACATTGCCCTTTGTGATCTATCATAGAGGTATGAAGAGATCCAACGTAGAAAATTAGGTGGAAGACCAAGAAGATAAGCACCGAGTGGCACACTTTGTCAAATGCTTTACTGAAGCCAGTATATATAACATCAACAGTTTTTCTTTCACTAAATGCTTTTGAGATATAGGATGTTAATTCAAGTAAATTTGTATAAGTTGGTTTGCCCTTGCAAAATCCATGTTGACTATATGCTAGAAGAGATAGAATGCGTGAACTGATTTGTAATAATTGCTTCAAATGATTTAGGCATTGCAGAAAGCTTAGCTATTCCCCGATAGTTCTCCACTGAATATCTGCTACCGCTTTTATGTAACGGGGTTATGAGCGATTCTTTCCATATAGTTGGAAAAACGCCCTCTTTAAGAGATAAATTAAATAACGCTGTTAACGGCTCATAGAGATAATCAGGACAATTTATAAGAATACAAGTAGGGATCTGGGCAGGACCATAACTGAAGGACTGCTTTAAGGATTTCAGATAGACTATGAGATCATCGGGAGATATTACTGGGATATTTATTGAGTTCATTGGACATAGTTTAAAAGGATAATCAATGTTAGCATGTGAGTTTATGGAATAATTGGATTTAAAAAACTGAGCGAACATGTTAGAAATTGTTTGATTATCACTAGAGACGGTATTTTGATACTTCATGGCGGAAGGAAACCCACGTACATTTCACTTGAAGTTTACGATGTCATAAAATGATTTGGGGTTATATATTATACGCCGTTTGATTTTACACAAGTAAGCTTTATAACACTTTTTGTTTAACTCAAAAAACTTATGACGCAAATGTGAGTATTTTACATAGTATGAGTGTAAACCGGTTTTTTGTGTAATCTAAAATAACGCGACATGCTTTTCAAATAATTTATGTAAAGTAAAGTTAAAAAGTGCAACGCTTTGTTCAATATTTTCTTTAAATGCAGGCCACGACAATTTAGACAGTTCTTTGTTAAGCAATTTAAAGTTGGCTTTCGAAAAATCAAAGCGAATATTTGGTTCGTATGCTTGGGTACTGCAATTTTGACCATCACTTATAACTTCGTAAGATACCTCCATAGCAGAGTGGTAGACATCTTCGGGCAAAACTAGTGGATCACACTTATTTACAACGGACTTAGATGCATCATCAACATAAACAAGATCTAATACTTTACCAAACTTATTGTGAAGTACATTAACGTGAGTTAGGCAGAGTTCAGCCATCTCCCCTAAAAATACGTTGTTGCAAGCACTAGACGCGAAAGGTACGATATCATTGTCAATGATGTTCCATGACAGTGGTGTAGCCAGGGGGGAGGGGGTTAATTGGGGGGAGAGATCCCCCCTTCGTCATTGAAATTAAAATTTTTAACTTTGAATTAATAACACAATATTATTTTACCCTTCCGATTTATAATATTTTATTTTAGACTGATGATAAATTATCTTGTAATGAATATATAAAATTATCGGTTGGTGGACTATGTATTTGCAAATATTTTTGGAATACACTAGGCCATTTTGCTTAGTTCCCCAAACTGTACTTTTCGACTGTAAATTGTATCGACTTTTTAATTTGCTCATATGCATGCATACATAGATTCCCTTCAAGACCAATGCTTTGATGGTATTCACAGGAAAGTTTATGTAGGTACATTTACATATTTTACACTTTTAACTTGGGAAATAATCTATAATTTATACAAAAACTGTTCTTTTCGACTGTAAATTGTATCGACTTTTTAATTTGCTCATATGCATGCATGCATACATAGATTCCCTTCAAGACCAATGCTTTGATGGTATTCACGGGAAAGTTTATGTAGGTACATTTACATATTTTACACTTTTAATATAAATGTCAAGGCAGATATTTTAAGATACACTTCTTAACAAACAAATTTTTTTAAGTTATTATGAATGGATGAAGAATTTGAATTCAGTACTAAAACTTGACATTTCAAGTGCTTATCAAAGCTTTATACATGTTAACTAGATTGGCCATTTATCTTAAAATAAATCGTTGGTTTTTAATATTTTTTTTTTTGATGAAGGCGTTGCTCATTTTCTTCATTAAAAAATTGTCAAACATACTTAGATAATATGGAAGAAAATTACCGACATCGTCAAAAATATGCCATACATCAACTGTAAATCACAGCTACTTTAAATTTGCACTTTATTAGACTAAAATTGAATGAGTTAAAAAACTGCAAAATATTAAGAGATCAAATTGAAATAGAAAGTTCGTCGATTTTTTTAATGTTGTTCAAAGATAAAACTTAATTTCATTTAGTGTTTGTTAAGGGATAAACTATATTTTTATAAACAAATAATTCATACTAAAATATAATAAACTAAATAGTCAAATCTACTCAATATGTGAGTGTCGTAAAGTTATGATATTTAAGAACATCTCTTTCTTAATTAAGGATGACACTTTTTCTATATGAAGCTGATTTCAACATTTGGTTTTAGTAAAATTTAGTATCGAAAATATTCTTTCAAAACTTGCCTAGGAATGTGATATAATGGTTCGTTCAAAACCATTTTTCAAAACTTATAAAGGCAAAAACGAGAAGGCGAAGACAAAAAGAGAATAAAAAAATTTCCTGTAGTCAATTTTCAGATTTTTAAGACGGTATAGTAATTTAATTTTTTAAATTTAAATAAAGCATGAATACCCCATGGAATAAACGAGTAGATAAAAAATATATAACGGTAAAACTGGCAAATACATAAATATATGAAAGAATGCACTCAGGCGACGCCTCTAGCCATTGTGTGTCACAAATTTAAGTTATCGATGGAATTTTTTTTTCATCAGCAGATTTAATAATTAGTTTTTTGATTCAGTGTTATGACGGGGAATATTAGCTAAGTTATTTACTTTTTTGGGCCTATATTCGAATTCACGAACGAAAACTCCGGGGGGCCAAAAAGAACTACTAAGCAGCGCATTAAAATTATCTAAATTTACGTCAATTTTAAATGAAGCAATAATTCTTTCGTAATTAAAATTAAATTTTCTGATGCTTAAGTCGACAGTTGTAATTTTTGATGAGATATAAAGCTTTATACACTGAGAAAAAGGATTAGTTTCGAGAACTAAAGATATTTAGTTCCCGAATTTTGACAATATTTGGGAACTGTTACCAAGGGTTGGAAACTTTTACCATCGATTGGTAATCATAACTAAATATATTAAAGCTTCTAATATTCATCTAGGTTGTAACAAATCGTTAATTTAGTTGAAGGGTTTGGTTAATACTAATAAATATTTCTTTGAAGCATATTTCTACAAATTCCATTCAACTTAACGTATGGTTCATAAAAGGATGTTATTAAGCTCTGCTAATGCAGATAAGCTTTCTTTCAACACGTGGTTTAGTCATAGTTACCAAATCTTAGTTGAGGCAACCACGATTTGTTTTGAGAGTGGAACATATTCATGCTTGTGAGCCACCCCTAAAGAATGCTGAGCGCTCTCTGAGCACATACGAAGAGCGCCAGCTGAGCAATGCACATAGTCCCACTTATTGAATCGTTTGAATGCGCTAGTATGCCGACCATTGCATTGTGCGTGGAAATCATTGCTCCGCTACCGCTTTCGTATATGGGTGAAACACGCATGTGGTCCCAGAGCGCTCAGTAAGCTATGGCATGTCGATCGCTGCGCCATGTGTGCTATGACATGCCCATACTTGTTTGTCTCAGTTTCAGTTTTGCTATCATCGCGAGTTGTTTCGGTGCGCGCATAGTTTAAAGTTTAATTAAAAATAATATTATAGTTAAAAAAA